GAACTTAAGTGTTAATCAATGAGTTCTAATTAAGCCAATGATTTGTATGCTTAATGTTTCAGTGTTGTTTAACGATCTTTATTCAAATTCATTATGTAAAACGAAGATTAATGTCCGCTTTTTAACTATTAACTACTGACAAATACCTCATAAATTCATTTCCAGCAAATCTTCAAGATCAGTTGATATGTTAGCTATTCGAAACTGGAATAAAGTTAAATAAATCTGTGCGGCTTACTTTTGAGATAATGTTTAACGATATTACCCCTTAGATTCCTTTCGCATATAAATGATTATTATTCCTTTCGATGCCATTAAGGAACTTTCATTTATCTGGAATTGTATGTAATGAGATCACTCTCCAGCACTCGGTCGTCAGATCAATTGAAAAGATTCGCTTATAAATGAGTGCGCTGCCGTCGAGCTGAGAAGGAAAGTAAAATCCATCCTAGCATCATCAGTCATCAGTCAGATCGATATTAAGATAGGCATTGCAGCTCCACACAATGACGCTTGATTATGCAATGATCTGTGCCCGCAACTGTCTCCTCTCTCCCTTTCTCTTACTCCCTTCTCCACGCGCATCTCGCTCTGACAACGCCCATGGCTATCGGCCATGCAGTTGGGTGGGGCAGGGATTGGGACACGGGTGTGTAGACTGGGCAGCTGCAGCTGCTTGTCCACTTCAACGCCTGACGCGACCGTGTGTCCAGGAAATGAGGTGAATGCCTTCTTAGTGGCAAAGCGGCAATCGGAACAAGCACAAGCAAAACAAGCAACATCGACAGCAGCAGCAGCACAAGAAAAAGAAGAAGAGTAAAGTCAACAGAAGGCAGACACCAAAGTCCAACAGCGAAATCGATAATATTTCAGGGACGTAGCTTCTGACAGTCTCAGTTTTGCAGTTGCCACTTCCACTTATGCTCTGCAGCAGCAGCAGCAGCATTGGGCGCGTTCCGTATACCTTGTAAACACTTAAAATGCGGGAAGATGCGGTACAAAATTGACCTATTCGTAAAATCTGTGTAGAATGAACATGTATCAAAAAGATTTCGAGCTAGAGCGTATTTTTCCTTCTTTACTATAATTTTTTCCTTAATTTCTTATTTATTCATGTTTTTTCCTATATCTCGAGGACTAGCAAAGCTACAAATGCCAAACCTGGTATATGATTTCTCGAAAAGCATACAAATTTCTGGGATATTTCACTTTTTTAATAACTTTCGGCGTTCCCGAGCTCTATGGAGTTAATAGGGTATCTTTCAGTCAAGCACACTTGTTTTTTTTGTTCGCCTGTCTGCGTTTTTCGATTTCAGTTTTTCTGTGTGCTGCATGCGGTTCCAATTTTGTGCTCATTCGGCCATTGAGCGCGTATTGGTCGAGGGGTTTGGTTTGTGCAGCAATGGAGGAGGGGGAGGGCGTAGTGTTGGTTAAGGGGGTTGCGGGTGCGGCAATGATTAGTGACAACAACATTGGTGGTGACTCACTTTGCAGAACATTTGCCAGCTTGTATGCACCGCACACATGAACTCATAAAGTGTGGCAAGTGTGTGTGTGTGCGTGTGTGTGTGAGTGTAGTGTGTGGACTGTGTGTGTGTGTCTCTCTCTCTGTGGTTCATAGCAGCCACGTGAAGCCACATCAATCCATCAGCCGACTTTTAAAAACGTGTCGCCAGCTTGCCACAAAGAAGAACAACAACAGAAATAAATAATTGACAACGAATTGAAAGCAAAGACGCATATCGAAACACGCGTACCCACTGAAACTAAACCATAGGGTATTCTAAAGTTCTACAAATAATAATACATCATTTCTATATATAGCTTAAGTGCTTACTCTTGCTCATTGAATACAACTTCCATAGATTTGTCGATAAGATAATATCACAGCGTAGATTTCTACGCCTAACTCTGATTAATGTCGTCTATATATACGATAAGTGTATAACTGGGCACAATTGTTGTTGATATACCAAGTATTTAAAGTCAATTGTTGGCCATATTGACAGCTGTTATCTATCGCAGTCTCTATTATTTACTTAAGTTTGAGTGTATAAATAATGTGTTGAAGACAACTTTCAATTAAATTAAATGTTGCAGCCGGAAACGAATCGATTAGTCTATACTCTGTTAACAAAATAGCAACAGCTAAAAACAATTAAAAAAAACTAACTATTTATTGCGTTGATGACTCTAATACTGTAACACTTATGAAATGACTCCAAAACTGTAAGAAGTATAATAAAATGTACTATAAAGTGAGTCCAGAACAAAAATGTATAATAGAATGAAGTAGGTGACTCTAAAACTGCATTCGACATTCGAACTGTAAGAGATGAAATGTATTATTTCTAGATTATAGAGTGACTTAATCACTCTTAAACTGTGAAATAAGATCAGGGACTTAAAACTGTAAAATATGGAAAATAAAGCTTCTAGATCAGCTAGATCAGCGACTTTCAAACTGTACGCTCTGGTATATACTGCTTCCAAGTTATGCCTCTAAAACTTTCGAACCGTTAGAGGGGGAAAATAATGCTTCTAGATTATAGATTATGTGACTCTAAAACTGTGGAACTAAGACAATGACTGTCGAACCTGCAGATATGAAATATAATGCCTCTAGGCACTCTCAAACTAAGTCAGGGACTGTTTAACTAGCTTAACTGAGCTGCATAATTAGAATGAAATCGATTACTTGAATTGAATATACCCCATAATGACAGCATTTAGCACAGGGTATACGCATTGGCCAAGTGTCTAAAAGTGTCAATAAATTGTTGACTGTGTCACGTTTCGAGTGTATTTGTGAGTGCTGGCAACTGAATTATAGCCAGGTCTTATTGCCTGTTTCTTGTTGTTACTTGTTGTTATTGTTGTTGTTGTTGCCTTTGCTTATCTGCAGTATGTTTTAATGAGTTTTCTTGTTCTTAACTATGAAACAAACTGAAAATGAATGTCGCTGCGAAGCGTTTGCAAAGCCGTAAGCCAATTTAACATTTAAGCCATCAAATCGAACACACAAATAACCCGCATACAATTGGAGCCATCGAACCGCAAGGCTCAGGCCAAGCCACACAACCACCGCGCACCACCGCGCACCACCTCGGACCACCTCGGACCACTGACAAGACGACAGTCTGACAGAGAAACCCGTATTAACAGCGATCTTTACGTTAGTCAATTCGTCAATTGTCACATTTGTCTGGTTTAATAAGTTTTGCGAATGCTTAAGCTCAATTTATGTTTATGTTTCGGCTTTATTTATGCCGCAAAACTGGGCAAAAGCAATTGACATTAGCAGCAAATAGAGGTTAAGTGGCTTTTGGGTTGGGTTACATGAATATTAATGGGTTACCACAGATAGAGAAAACCTTTCCAAATTACAATTCTGTGCTGGATGATTCTTGAACACTTTTCAGTGAGGTTCGAAACGTACGTAGAGTACATAGTATTAAGTGTAATTATTGTTTAGAGTCCAACTCTACTTATTTTATTACAATTTAGCAAAATATATTTCCCATTTCTAATATCTTTTCTTCATTTTCTTCTTACAGGTATGTAAGTCCTAAAACTCATAAATAAATATTATGCTAAGGAATCATTGCATCAAAAACTCTTACCATTTGTAAGAAAAGCATAGTTCACAGAACATTTTCGTGAAAAATGGGTCACCTGAGTTCTTGATATTTGACACACCTTGTTGGGTAAGTGGAATCAAACCGCAAGATCTGAACTTTTAATGCCAGGACCGGGCGTGGTTGCATGCGGCAAGTGGCGCCAACTGTTGAACTCTCTCTCTATACCCCCCCTCTTACGCCTTCCCCTTTCCTCTTGCTGCACTCTATACGTCTCGCCTTGTGCGGCATTTCACATTTCTTATGCACACCTTGCACTGATTTCCATGGCTTTAATTACTAAAGTGGAAGACCAAGTTGGTCAGCGCCATTGGCCCACATTTTGAGGCTGCGTGTGACTGTGCGAGTGAGTGTTTGTGTTTGTGTGTAGCCCCGCGGCATTGCGTCGCGTTGTTGATGACGTTGGAAGTGCGTGAAGTGCCGTTGATTACCATGGAAAACATCGCCACACCCCCTTGTGGCACTTTTTTATGGTCTGCTCCAAATAAAAACAAACTGCAGATGTTTTCCAGTCACAAGTGAACAACACCGAAAATGATACTAAATATAGCAAGAGTTTATTAACTGAAAGTACACAGATTTGATCAAATTTTCAAATTTCCACCTATGTTCCACCGAAGTACGTGAAACACATGTGCATTGACTTTTCCTGGGGCAATTTAAGATCGATTCTGAGGACAATTTTACTTCAAGCGACTAAAATAACTTAGTTATTGTTTAAATTTGGGCTTTCATAGGTATTTCCCTGTTTTCCAGTGCTTTTTGATTTCCACTAGCATGGGTGAAATTCACTTTCACTGGAAGTAAATACAGTTGCAGATAGATTTTTGAGTGTATTAGAAAGTCGTGGCGTTTATTAATGCTCCTACTTCATCTGCAAGTCTCAAAACTATGTTAACTTTGATTATTGCTTAAATAAAGTATCGAAGCGTGTTGAATCGCTTGATCGACAAGTGTTAATTATGCGCACGTTCGCCGTGGAGATCAGAGAGAGAGAGAGAGAGAGAAAGATGAAGAAAGCCCCACGCAATCGCAGCGAGGCCGGATATGCGTATGACTATCGTATGTTAATCGAATGATAATCGAATTCAGATTGCGACGGTTCACTTTACGAGCCTGACCAAGTATGGACGCTAGGAAGCATAAATTGTGAGCTATTGCAGCTCTGCGATTGCATATTAATATTATGTGGGAGTCATAAATACTTTTCCACTGCAACAAGCCGCAAGCTCTTACAAAATCCGGAATTGAACACAAGATTGGAACTGAAAACAAAAAAGAAAAACCGAAATCGATATTAATCCAAGTCGTCGCTGAGTTAGTTGTCAAGCGTGGCATTTGCCTCGTGCCATTAGCACAGTTTAAACAACATAGAGCTAACAATCGGAATTCTTTTTAAACAATTTTATTTTTTCGTAAAAATATATAAAACTAAGAAATCCACTTTTATTTCAATGGCCGACGATGATGAGGTTCAGTTTGATGCCGTCGATTCGGGTGCATCGAAAACCTTTCCGATGCAATGCTCGGCCTTGCGCAAGAATGGCTTTGTAATGCTCAAGGGACGTCCCTGTAAGATCGTCGACATGTCCACATCGAAGACCGGCAAGCATGGACATGCCAAGGTACATCTGGTTGGCATTGATATATTCACACAGAAGAAATACGAGGACATCTGCCCCTCCACCCACAACATGGATGTGCCGCACGTCAAGCGCGAGGACTATCAGTTGACCGACATCAGCGATGATGGCTTTGTCACCCTCATGTCTGACAACGGCGAAATACGCGAGGATCTCAAGGTGCCCGAGGGCGACCTGGGCGGTTGTCTGCGCACCGAATTCGGCGAGGGCAAGGATTTGTTGTGCACCGTTCTGGCTGCCTGCGGCGAGGAGTGTGTCATCGCCACGAAGGTCAATTCGGGTCTGGACAAGTGATTGCGAGAGTGTAAAGGCGGGAACAGAACTTGGTCTGATTAATATAATAATCCATAAAGCTGAATTGAATTAAAAAGCAAAGCAGAAAACGGAGGGTTGTTTTTTGTAGAATTTCGCTAGAGTCTGGTGTGTTGCGAATTGCGGCGTGAATGGGGGAATTATCGAGGAAGTATTATATTGATAACAATGCTCTTAAATGAATATGTGAAGTCGTTAGAAATCGATTGATTCGTGTCAAGGATAATGTATTTACAGATTCAATAGTCTCAGATAAGAAAAGCAGCTAGACTTGCCGTCAGTTTGAGTATTATTTATATAGAGAAATCCAAAAATATAAAGGTCTTAGATCAAAAAATAATTTCCTTCAAATTTACATTTAAATAAGTATTCCATAAATTGAAAATTATCATAAGTTACGCACAAAAGATTCTTATCAGCTTTTCGGATTCTTGTCTGCGCAAAGCCTTCAAGATGAATGTCTAAAAATATTAACATTGATCTTAATTTTTGTTGTTGCCTTTTTTTCTCGTGTTTTGATCGTTGAAATGAACTTCAAAGTAATTTATGCTGTAGCGCTCTACAAATTTGTAGGCCCGCATTTTGGCCTCAGGCTCATTTATCATCACAGACGCAAGCATAATTTAATCGTCTTTATCAAATTAATGAGATCTCATTAAGTGGACGCGCCCCAGCCGTTGCAACGTTTATCAATTCGTTGTGGCCAAAGCCAGAGACGAGTTAGGTCATCAGCACTCTTTGCTGGCTTCACATGTTGTTCATCAGGTGTTGCTAATTACGAGTTCTCTTGCTTCTCCGGCGTTGGTTCAATGGCCAACTGACCGAAGTCTATTGACCACCTGAACAATTATGCGCCATTTGCAGCGTTCATTTCGTTTAAATGTCGTTTTCCATTTGCATTTTCATTAATTTTACTTAAACGAACGTTTATCGTTGCTGGAAATATTTACCGCTCGTTTGCCGCTTGTTAGGCGCTTTGCCAATTGAAAATTGCTTATAAAAAAGGGGTATATGCGACAATATATGTAACGGGCAGAATACTATATATTTGACTTTATAAGTGTTATGAAGTCTTGATAAGATCCATAAGCGCCAGGCATGTGCGTCTGTCCAGATTAACTTATCGATCTCAGGTATATTACACGCAGGTCTTCTTATTGTTAAGAAAAGTAATTTTCCTGAAATTGCTATAGACTTAACTTCAGTTTTTGGAGCATATTCCAGAGATTATAAGTGTCAGAGGCCCTAACTTTCGTTTTTATATAATCTTAAATGAATATCTAATCCCAAGAACATAATCATTACGCTGGCAACTCTGCCAGATAGAGATATCGATGGAAGCCTGTCGAAGCCGATAAAATGTTAGATGTCTGTTATGTAACAGAAGGGATGTGTTTGCTATGTAACAGAAGAGATGCGTCTGTTATGCAACAGAAGGGATGGTAACAGGAGCATAAGCATCGATTAAAGAGGTGAGAGTTGGGTTCGAGCTTCTGAAGAAAAGAGACGTGTGTGCGATTTTGTTGACTATAAAAAAGGAAAGGTATCTTTTTACCAAGTGGGTAAAATGCAATGTATTCAGATATTTAACGAACAGATTAAAGGGCTTCACAAATTTGATTCCAGACATTTTAAGGCCGATCGGATATGAAGCATGGAAGTTATTGAAGAATATATTTTTCTTATAGATTCCCACATCTACAAATAGAAGAAGCACAAAAGAGTATAGTGCCTGCAAGCTTCTGCTCAAAATCTACTTAATACAGGGTATCTTCCAATCGGGCAATTGCCACTACATAACTCTTATTAGTTTGCCTCGGCTGCTGTGGCGTCTCGCTGGCGGCGGCGTCTTGGCTGCATCGCATTGCTCCACCTTTTGCTGCCGTCGGCGTCGTCTCCTTCATTTTCAATTGACAGGCAGCCGCTGTTTTGCTTCCTTGTTTGCCAATTGCATTGCCAATCGACTAAATGCATAATATTTGCATAGGCCCGAGGACTGCGTTAGATTGTGAGTATTCACTCGCACTCACGCTTGCACTCACTGATTCATTCATTGCGCCCGTCGCCAGTCATTCATTCAAATTTTGTAACTGTTGTTTTGCCTGCCAATTTGACATTTCTGTCAAGCTGTCGCCGTTTACAGTCCCCCGCCCTCCCTCTGTCCCTCCCTCTGTCCCTCCCTCTGTCCGTGTGGGTGTGTTGACTGCTTCCAGCTGGTTTCCCAGTGCGTGGCAACCAACTATCTGTCCCCCCCAATTCCCCCACCGTTCCCTTCAGCTATTGAGCACGTTGTCATGTCTGTTAACAAATGCAATAAATTTGTGCTAATACAATTTAATACGATTTGTGTCTGAGATTTTGGCTTAAGGATTTGGTTACATGACTGCAGCCACTCCCCAGAAAATACGCTGTGGGAATGAATCAAAAACTCAGAAAAAATTGCCTTCGTATGATGTCATAAGGCGTCGAGAACTTTGCATTCGTTGCCCGAAATTCAATTAGTTGCCAACGAAATAAACAAAAAACGAGAAGCATGAAAAAAATATCGAATTATGAAAAACAAACAGAAAGGCAACGTTTACCCATTATGACGGGGGCGTCTGTGAACCCGATGGAACCCGCATTTTCGACAATTCTTTGAGTCGAGTCTGAGAAATGTTTCCCAACAACAGCTTTGGCATATGTGAGAAATAAAAACGATATTAAAAACCGGGCAGCGAGTGGTGGGTGCCAATGAATTTGTAGGATTGCTAAGCAATGAATAAATAAAGGCGTTAGCTCTTAGCTGAAGAGAGAGAGAAAGAGAGAGTGAGAGAGAGAGCGGAGGGCTGGCAAAGCAACTAATTGTTAAGCTTGATTGATAAATGTTTGTCCAGTTGCTTAAATAGTTGGAATGTGTGTGGAGTGAAGACAACAGAGAATAAAAAAAGAAAAGAGAAGCTGTATTGCATTCCTCAAGGTGAATTCTGTGTAGGAGTTAACATTTCTTGCAGCTCTTTTATGCTAACATTAAAAATAATAACTTTTTGATATATATGTTAAAAAGATTTTCCTTGGCATTAGATCTGTGTCTACATGAGATTGTCGGACAGTTGTAAATATAACAAAGGTATCTTTGAATTTTGTATGTTAACATTAACAGCGTCACTTTAACAGCTTGACATTTAGCATAGCTGTTAAGTTGCTTAACAAAAATTTTTGCCCCTGTCACTAGACGGCTGTAACTTTTAATAAAGTAAACTTATAATACTACTTATGAATTATAATGACATATCCCTTGTATATACATTTACCTTATTGCATATTGAAATATGTTTAGTTAACATTAACAGCCGCGTCCATCTCATAAGCCTGTTAGACATATATTTGATGACGATATTATTCTCTTTTAAGAAAAGAGCATGATTTAAGGGAGTGTGAATAGGTAAACCCTTTCCCTTATGTAAACCCTTCCCCTGATGTAAACCCCCTCCCTTATGGACAGTTCCATATGTTATTTGGCATTTCTTTGAATTCTGTTACAATAGTGTTAACAGCGGCGTTTTAACAGATTATATCGTGTAAAGCTGTTAGATATTAATTAAATGCCCGCCAGACACGGATTTCCTCTCAAACACTAGAAAATCGCTGCAAAATATAGTAAAGTTCTTTATTATTTTATATATTCATATTAAGTGAAAGGAAATAGTCTTGAGAGAAAAGAACCTCTCCATTATATCATCAAACAGAGCTTTTGTATGGAATAAATCTTGTCTATTCTACAGTTCTACATCTTTCGCCGTCTCCAGCTAGACATTTAAGCAGCTTTTAGCCAGACTTGAAGGTTGCATTAAAATCAACTTTAACTAACTCCACTCCACTAGGCTGTCTGCATAAGCCAACTAATTGTTATTGATTTTGGCTTTGCATGCAGCATTATAAATAAGTTATATGCATAAACCGAAACGCGGAAAAGAGCAATTGGCGTGTGTGGGGGCAAAGCCTAGCGCTGCACTTGGCCCACGGTTCATGGACTGTCTTGCAGGGCTCACGGGTTGTCTATCATGGATTGTCTTTCAAGTGCAGCGGAATATACACAAGTTTTTCATATGGAATATCATAGCTATGACAACAATAACAACAACAACAACAACAGCGATTTTCTAGTGTGGGTGGGGCTGCGGGAATAGAACCCATTTCAAGCCTTGTCTAAGCTTCGGCTGCACTTGACCTCCGGCTGCTCTGTCTAGCCCTCCGGCGCAACTGTCAGTCAATCAACAGGAAAAACTGCACCATGCAGAGTTTTTTCCCCTTCTGCAATCTATCTAAAACTAATTACACGCTTTAATATGTCGGCTGGCGGTCTGGGGCGTGGCCATTATTCAGCAACTTTTTTTTTCTTCTGTTTGGTCTGGAGTGGGAAGGTGGGGGGGAACTGGGCGTGAATGCGTGCATCATGCAGTCATGGATACACTTTTTACCGTTATTTATACTCGCGCACACACAAAGCAAATGTAATCGACATTCCCGATGTTTATCTAACGGTCATAGGTAAACAGCTTGACAAGCGATGTCCCCGCCCTCCTGTTTGGCCCGCCCCAGCCCCGTTTCAATTAGAACTTCATTTGTTAACGAAAAGGTGACAGTTGCATGTTTTTAATTACTCAATTTGTGTTGATATATTATTTTTTTATTATATCGATATAACTTTCTATTTTGTTAAATCGATTTATGGGCAGTCATCGGTGTTTGAGTTTCTATATGAAAAAGCATTTTTCGCCTTTTTAACTCTCGTGGCTTGAATCTCAAATATCGTTGTAACTTGTACTTGTGCTTAAGGATCTTTGAAATGAGTTTTCATAATCATCTTTGGATATAAATTTAAACCCGCAAATGCATCCCTTCTATTAACCACCTTAAGGGGTGGATTCTTCGCAATGTGTGAAACATCTCGCAAGTGAATTTGCATGCAAAAAAGAAAGAATAACATGCATTAGATTAAAGTATACTTTTATAAATTTGATTTACCCTCAACCCATGGAAAATGAGGGCGCATTAACAAAATGTTTGCTAATCATAGC